CCCCCCCCCCCCCCCCGCGTCCCGATATTTGACCTGGGTGATCTGGTCACCCTAGCTGGAGTTTGTGTCCTGTTCTAGGAGCCACACTCTAGGAAAGTTGTGGATAAACTGGAGAAAGTCCAGAGGAGCGCAACAAAAATGATCAAAGGTTTAGAAAATCTGACTAAGGAAAGATGGGGAAAAATTGCCTTGTTTTGGCTTGAGGAAAGAAGGCTGAGGGGGGACCTGGTAACAGTCACCAAATATGTGAAGGGGCGTTATAAAGAGGACAGTGATCAACTGTTCTCCATGTCCACTGAAGATAGGACAAGAAGTAACGGGCTTAATCTGCAGCCTGGGAGATTTGGGTTAGATATTAGGAAAAACTTTCTAACTCTAAGGGTAGTTAAACTCTGGAATAGGCTTCCAAGGGAGGTTGTGGAATCCCTGTCACTGGAGGATTTTAAGGACAGGTTGAACAAACACCTGTCAGGGATGGTCTAGGTTTACTTGGTAAGCGTGAGGGGCTGGACTTGATGACCTCTTGAGGTCCCTTCCAGACCTACATTTCTATGATGTTCTACTTTGCCTTTCTCTAACATTGTTCATTCAGGGATCCGAAAGTGTTTTACAAGCATTAATTAATCAGGCCCCACAGTTCCTCTCTGATGTAGCCTAACTTTACAGATGGGTAAACTAGGCAAGTCACTCAATGTCACACCGCAAGTCATTGGCTCATGTTCTGGGCTTCTGCTCTAATTTTTAGAGCACAGGACTGAGATTCAGGTGACGTGGGTTCTAGTCCCAGTTCTGCTGTTTGACCTTTATCAAAACACGTATCCCCACTGTGTATTGGTTTATCCATGTGCTAATCTTTAATTGATAAATGCAGGGAAATTGCTAGTTAAAGCTGCTTCTCACCTCCTTGTTCCATGATACTGCATGCAGCCGGCATTTAAAACTACCCACTCTTCAATCTTCTGCGGTTTTGTATAGTGATTCTATTGCTAAACACAGGGTGCTACTGTCATGCACATTCCTCAGATGGAAGTGTTACCATGCAGGATGCAAAGCCCAATTGAAACCAGAGGGGTTTCAGATATGTGGGATGTGGAATGCCCCCAAATGATGGCCTCCAGGTACAGTGTGTGGCATGGAGGAGTTGCTGCTCATACTGGTTAGCAGTGACTTTATAAGAGCGGTCTGCTGGCTAGAATGTGTGGAAGCAGTGAGGAAATGCAATCCAAGAGACATTCTCCATTCCTAAATTCCCATCCCAATAAACGGAAGCCTCATTCCAGCAGCGCTTTTTATCTTAAGGCAATAAATAAAACCTCATGGAATAGGCTTTCGCAGTGGCAGTGTCCTCCAGGCAGTGACAGTGAAGAGACTCCATAGAATCACTCCTAGGAAATGCAAACCTGGAATCCCATTATATATTCCTAACTAGAATTAGAGCATCACCAGTAAGTGGGGATATAAATCATATGATATAGGACAGAATATTGAGCCTGTGGGAATGAACGATGTGAAACCTCTGTAGAATTTGGCAAGAGTTGCTCTCTCGAGCAAAGAGTTTAATTGCAAGTTCTTTGGGGTAGGGGCTGGCTGTCATTTATTATACATTTGTACAGCACCTAGCGTAACAGGGTCCAACCTCATTGTGGCCTTTAGGTGCTGCCACCATATCAATGTTAAATAACAGTGATAATAATAATATCCTGCCAGCCTCCATCTAAAGTTTCACAATTTGTTGTTTTGCTGTTCTTACCTTTACGTTCTTCCTTGACAAAATTCTCAAACTCGTTCCTTTGCTCTTCAAAGTACTCCCTCCTTTGCTCGTCAGCAATCAGCATTTGCCGGGTCTCCGCTGCGTAAGAGATGTTGATCGTATTAGCAGCCAAAAAATCTTAAGACGCCAGAGCAGAACTTTTGTCCTCAAAACCCAATGAATCTGATTAGCCTTGTATAGCTGCACCTGTATCCTGGGCGTTCACTGGAGGCTTAGTTGTTAAAATCCTTGTTTACAGCAGGCTTTCTAAGAACTAGACAATCTGCATTTCATCATCCCATTCTGCAGCACAATGAAACAATACATGCAATGATGCTGGTAGAGAAATTGCTAGCTCCTGTGTTATGCCTTTTAAATTCCATAGGTAAAACACAGGTTGTTCTAATGTAGTTTAGTGGATTGTAGTTATCATATTTGTCCAATGATTTAAAACCCGGTGACAAATGTCTACTAGTTAAAACTTCCTAATAAAAAGTTCCCAATGAAAATGAAATCTTACGACATTAGCTGGCTTTGGGGTATTATTACAATGTCAAAATGCATACCATGTTTGTTGAACAGTTCGCTACGTTTTCAAATAGAGAGGAGCCCAAATTGAAGCCTCTGATACAGTCAACCTTTAATTTCAGGGTGTGTATTGGAATCAAACCCTTGATTCAGAACCTGATTGTGTTTTGGGATTGTGTTCCCAATCTTTGACCCTGCTCTGTGCCCTTTCAGCTGTTCCAATGGGGGACAGAGAGCTGGCTTAAACAGCTGGCTGGAGAACTGCTCTTGCACAGGGGAATTCCAGGGTGGCAAAGATGGCATAGCAGGCTCCTCCTCTCATGGCATAGTCATCTCCTCTTCTCTGGGGCATGTTGGGGCAGGAGGTGGTATGACAAGAGTCCCTTGTGCTCCAGCAATCCTGGTCGACAGAATAGCTCCTAGGGGGCTATAAACAGCCAGCATAATTTAGAGTAGACTTCAAGTCTCTCTAAATTGCACTGGGGGCCAAACCGGACCCTGGCTGTCCCCAAGGCTGGCGAGGCAGCAAGATGACCTAATACCCTTCTGTCTCTACCTTTTGGATCTTGAACCAAGGATCTGGCCCTGGTTTGGATATAGCCCCAGACGGTGGAAATCTTGTGTGACTTTCTTCAGTCACACTATTTCTGCCCAAGATGGCAGAAAATGAACAGGAAAAGCTAATTTTGTGAGATTTCTGCCATTTTGGGTTGAAATCTCATTAAAACAGCTAGGAAGATGACATCATCTTGCCCTGGTTTGGTCATTTGCACCTTGCCTGGTGATAATTTAGGGTCCAATCTTAGACGGGTCCTCTCTGCCAGAAGATGAATTTTTCTGGAAAGTGAGTTTTAGTTGGAATTTGGTAAGATTTTTGGTAAGGTATTTTGGTAGGAGATGCAACTGTTGTGCATATCCTCAAGATGCTTGTACGTCATCTGTTTCTTATGTCCATGTGCTTATATATATTTCTTACATCATTTTCTTTCCCTCTGTTTCTTACATCACTCTTTCTCTCTCTTCTTTTACCTGTTGGCTTGCATGAAAATGCAAAGTAAATAACCAGTTTCTATTTACAGCCATTCTTAAAATATGGCTTTATAAATTATGGTCTTGCTCAGTGGATGGGCAGACCTAGATAGGGTAACTTTGGTTTAGGGACCCAGGAGAATTTTTACCAGCTAGTTTGTTGAATCCATTCCCAAAGAGTTCAAGTGTTTTTTCAGGCAATAAGCAACATGAACAAGATAAAAGCTCCCACCACAGACCACGCATTTCCCCTGTCCTAGTGCTTTGCTGCAGAGGTAGCAACCCACACTTGTGACAAGGAAGGTTAAACTCTCAAGAACCAGGCCTGTCCCGTCCCACCCTATTATCAAATAGGATGCAACCAAAGAAAAGGCTCTCAGACAATTGAATAAATCTCATTGTACTCATGAGACTGGGAACTGAACTGAGAGAATCCTGAAGAATGTTACTGGATAACTGAGGGCGCAAGTCAAAGGAGCCTGTTTGAACGACAACGGAGTTGGCTAATCCTGCCCCTTCCAAAGATTGCCATGAGTCAATATTGTCTAGGAGAGATTCTGGGAAGGAACACTTGTAAATGACAATGGAAAGCAAGAGCTGTGACCACTTTATAGAAAGCCTTTGCCATACACTTGTATGGTTCCTAGTGTAACACCAACAGACCCTGGTCATCAGCGGGCGGGATCAAACTGGGGACCTCTGGTGCTTAGTGCATGAGCCTCTATTGCATGAGCTAAAAGCCAACTGGCTGTTAGCTCAGGCTGTAGAGCAGACTCATTTGATCTCTCTCTTTAAGTGGCCTTGGTGCCACTAGATGGGACAGAACACCGCACCCAGAAGGTGTGTGGGTTACACTGGCACAATGGGGCGTCACCGTGGGGGCAATGTAAATGTTAAATACTGATAATCAAGTCTAATCCTATAAACAAATGAAATTGTTTGTATTGATGGCCCTACATGTCATTAGTTGAAAGACTATAGGTATTCAAAATAGAGAAGGTCCAACAGGTCTCCTTAGCCAATGCAAAAAGAACATGAAAGAAAAATATTCCAGTCCAGTGCTTCAGAGGCAGGGCAAAGTGAATTTCAGATGAGTAGAAAGAAGTGAGGGATAGACGTTCAGGGATTTAATCCAGGAAGCAAACTTGAGGAGGTGGAAAATTAATGCTTTTCCTTGAGATAGAATAAGCAGGAGGAGTTCACGCAACAGAGCAGAGCTAAATGCTGTATCGTGCTAGACTTGGCACCAATGAAAGAAAATTGCAATTAGCTCCTTTTCTTTGGGTTTGCTTAAGGTATAGATATTGATAATAGGTATTAAATCCATTCCCATGTGTAGGTATTTTTAAAAGTAGTTGAACACCTGAAAGTTGAGAAACCTGCTTTGTGACATTGGAAAAGAGATGAATGTAAGAATAGCTTTGAGAAAGTGGATTATAAATATATTGGCTTGAAAGAAGAAGGTAACATAACCACTGATTAAAGAACTGTAGGAAATAGATGAGAATGGCTGAGGAAAGTGGAAGGGAACAAGTATTGAGTTAATCTTCTGTTCCAAGATCTATCGTAGTTCTGGATGAGGTATCGACCCCAAGGTAGAGCACTGCACAATTAGTTATATTTGGAAGGTGTTCCTCTGAAACATCCAGTAATATTGGCCACTGTTGGCAGATGGGCCTGTGGTCTGCTCCAGTCTGCCAACTACTTAAGGTCTCATGTTTCTGGACTCAACCTAGAATAAACAGTATTTTACGTTCTCCTTCTCATTGGCATCACTTTGAATGTGTACCAATGCTGGGGTACAGGTCTTTGCTTGTTGGGGGAAGGGGAAAACTGCCCTTACATTTAGCATATGATCATCTATGTTGGTACTCAGACTCGGTTCAGATGTGGTCTGATTAGACTGGAAGTTTAGCAGTCTTCAGTTGGGTTTCAGGTTGGGTTTGGGCAACTGGAAATATCCTTATTTCAGGACAGTGCTGGAGAGGCACAGGCTCCTTGCATTTATTTATTTTTTATGATGAGTGATAGGAAAAAAACTTGATGGGTCAAATTCCTCTTTCACCTACAGCAGCATAAATCCAGTGTAACACCACTCAGAGTAACTGAAAGAAAAATATGGGCCAGTGCCTCTTTCTAAAACATCAGGCTACAGAATAAGGAAGATGTACTATAAGCTTCCCGAATGTGCCTCAATTCTGATCTGCCATGCACATTGCCAGTCAGATCCAGGACATCAGGACATCTCCAAGGTATAATTTTCTGTTCATGCTAAATATTCCCAGAGGATTAGGACAAAAAGCACCATGCTCCTCTTAACCCATAACATAGGGATGTGATCGGAATTGTGCACTGATGAAAGGTTGGTAATGTAACCAACTGTGCCATCTGATGCTAGTGTTGGACAAGAATGAGTACCTCCAAACTATCTTGAGTGGGAGGAAATTGTTCTGGTTCCCATCAGCCAAAGCCTGGCTGTATCTCTATTTGGATGCAACCCTTTATAGAATAAACCAGTACTTGTTTGATGGAGGGTGACTAACCTATTTTTCTGCCATGGTTCAGAGACACTTCTACATCACTTAATAGCAAAGGAAGTGCCTGACAGTTAGCCCTTTGTGTTACAGGACACAAATATCATGAAACTGTTTAATTTATTAAGCACTTTATTGCCAAGCACATGTGTGCTGCACATGGTGAGAGGGGAGGCCATCAACAGTAAAATCATAATCTGGGCCCAGTGTCCCAGCTAAAGCTCCCCATCACCAGATCACTAATGCATGGAAGGATGGATGCAAATGGAGGTTCTTGGTTAAACTGGATTAAACAGAAAGGATGTACAATGACTCTGTGGACTCTGGATAGACTTTGTTAGGGAGGGAGTTCTACAGATCAGACCCTACCACTACAAAGCTCTGTATCTCAGCCTGATCCCAGGTTGAACATCAGGAGGCTGGATCATGGACAATCCCGCTGCTCAGTTATTTGGTGGAACATCACCCACAAGTAATGACCATATAATCTGCACGCCTGTGCATATTTAATAAAACCAATGGGCCAAATTTTGCTCTGAGTCACAGCAGTGTAAACCCGTTCACTTCAGTGGAATTGTGTATTGGAATAGTGACTTTCAGTGGGTTTACCCTGATGCAAATGAGAATACATTCTGACCCAATGACTTTATTAAATGTCTGGGAAAATAGGTTACATGGTATATTGCTTCTGGACAATAGCCCATCAAGTAACTGAGATCAGCAATGGAATGGCAGAAGGTTAATCGTGCTCACTTTATATAACCCTAAAAAATTGCACCTCATTAAAATATTACATTATCGCTTACCTCAAAGCAAGTATTGTTTTTATAGACCCTGTTATAACTTACCTGTAACGTTAGAAGGGACACACACTATCCTCCTCCTCCTACCGTGTTTCCCCGAAAGTAAGACATCCCCCGAAAATAAGACCTACTTCCAGTTTTGCCTCTTGCTGTAATATAAGGCATCCCCCGAAAATAAGACCTCCCCGCTAATAAGGCCACCCCGGAATATAAGGCCCCGAAGCTCCAGGAAAAATAAGACCTCCCCTGAAAATAAGACCTAGCGCATCTTTGGGAGCAAAAATTAATATAAGACACTGTCTTATTTTCGGGGAAACAGGGTATATGTTTATTACCCAATTACATGGACACTACCTGGTAATTACAATGTAATTAAATAGTCAACGGTTAACATACTATTATATAGTAAATACATGATATTTGTGCCCTGTATTTTAAAGTGTTACCAGTTAAATCAGCTCTTCCTTGCCCTTTAACTGAGCTAATTTTCATATTATTACTGAAAGGTTAGCATCTCTCCCAAGAACCTAGCTGAAGTTTTGTTGAACCAGAGGACAGATAAATTCACTGACTTGGGACTGTTATCCTCTTCAGTGCTTCAGCAAACAAGCCATGTGAATTCAGTTATGTTTTCCATCCCATGTGGAAATAAAACGGTGTTGCAGAAGCCAGGTGCATATTTCTTAATGCTACATTTGCCAATGTTTTCCAAGAAGAGCTGAAAACACTCATTCAGCACCGGGTTTGAAACCTGCTTGTTATTTACCAGCGTTCATAAGATGACAGTGTGAAAGGAGCCGAGGAGAGGAATTAAATAAGCCCCTAGATTCACTTCACCGTGCTGTCCTGCACCTCCTACAACAGCCTGCTGAGCTCGGCCTGCCCTGCTATATGTCTCAGCCCTTTTGAAAACCAAGGCATTGGCATCCACTTCAGTTCTATTAGCCAACTTCAAGAGATTTTGTGGATGACAAATATTTCATTTTCCAAAGTTACCTCTTGCCTCATTTAAAAAGATGCCAATGAACAAACCTCATTTTGGAGAATTCAGTAACGACCGATCCCTTCACCCACCCAGAAATGATTCGGTATGCCCTAAATCTTCCAAACTGGAAGTCTATAAAGTTCAATTTTTTGTCCTTCTCCCATACTATTTTTATTCAATTAATAAAAATTACATTTCCACCCCCTCTCCCTCACACACGAATCCCTTTGGCTGCCCCCCCCCCACCCAATTGCTCTTTGTAGGTACATTCCATAATTTAAAATGTAGATAATTGAGAAGAAACCTGTTCTAATCCAAAAGTAACAACAACAACTTTGATCGGTGAATAAATCCTTGTAGCGAGTAGCAGGCAACTTAGGACTGTCTCAAGGGAAGCGGGAGATGAAAGCGGGGCAAAGAAAATACAGCTTTCCATAAACACTCCTGAACAGCCTCACCATTGAGCTCATCTCTGGATTTGGTGGCTCGCTTGCCACGCTTTTTGAAGAAGTTAGAGGCATCCGATTCTTGTATAAAAATCTTCTTTTTCATACCTGAAAGCAAAAAGAGAGGACTTGATCGGCCATGGATAGTAAATAGGGGCATCAATGTACATTTGAAAGCCGTAGGAGCAACTTTTCTCCTCTCCCTCCTAAAATTTGCAGCTCCACTTACTTTCCTTGTCCTCTTCCCCAGCTGCCTTCCTGGTGCCCACAGCAGCGCTGTCGCTTTCCTCAAGAACTGGATGACAACAGCACAAACATAGTATTGAGTTCAGTGAAGAAATGCAGCATCCCACAGGAAAAACCTCAAGCAGATGTTGAAAGCTGCTACCTGCTAAAACCCTAAAAATCCTGCAGTCCACTAACAACCTGCCTGGGAAATTCACTTTTACACAGCAAGAGCAACAGTACAATCAGCAGCTATGTAGATATATATTTTTGTGTTCCCAGTTTTTATTTTTGTAGAAAATCATAAAAATAGCAATTAACAAGACCTATAAGGACATTTAGTCCAGTTTATCCCATTATATTTAAAAATTGTCTGTGTATTCTTCGTGTAACTTGATGCCTTAATCCTTTAGAGATTGTAATAGATTACAGTGGATTACATTAGATTCTCACATATTCTCATGCTCATTTGACTAGCAATGTGGAAAATGACCGTGTTCTTATGTCACCCCAATGACACGAGTTCAGATTTCTCTCATTCCTTCCTGAAATTCTATGTTTCCTGCTAGCATTATTATTACTCCGGATCATACATACCAACCAAGAGCACAAAAGTTGCAAGGCAAGAGAGAAAAAGGATTTCTTTCCAGTTCATCTTTGTTGCGCTCCGGTGGACTCCTCTGAAAAATAGTGACTATCACAAGAAGTTTCCTGAGATCTGCTTGCAAATTCCTCCTGTTAGCTGGAAAAGGAAGCAGGGAGCTGGGATGTCGGGGGAAGGAGGGGCACTGGGTAGCACTTCAGTTGGCTGCTCCTTGCCAGCCCAAAGGAAGTTTCAGGCAACTTGAAAACATCTATATGAGATATATCCTGTGGTCATCAGCATTTTGATGGAAGTCAGAGTTACAAACTGACAGGCAGTTGGGATGGCCTGGCTGGGAGATGACTATTATAAGCAAAAGATTATACAGCATATTCTTTTTGTCATCTGTTGTATATAGTTTAAAGTGCAATTAAACTCCGGGGAAAAAACCCTTTGTACTCGGCAGATCTGCTCTCTGCCTGTATCAGAGTCAAATCTAGTGAGTTTAGTGGCTATAAGAAGTTTTTAGTGCTTTTTAAACTTCCGTTAGCCCTCCAGAGTCAGCATAGCTAAGAAAGGAGCCTGGTTCTATTGCTGCTAGTGCATTACTAGCAGAATGGTTTACTATGTTGAAGGCAATGCGACTGCACAGGTGTCACTGAGGACATAAACATTAGGGCCTGAATTCTCAGATGCACAAAGGCCCCTTCACATAGCACTGGCAGCATAAAGGGGCCTTAAAATTGGTGTACATTACATAGTGTCTGGAATTCCATCCCTCTGATCTTCTGGAAAGCCATTGAGTATGTGCCCAGAGCTGGGAATATGTAGCAGCAGCACAGTCAAACCTTGTTTATCTTAACAGTATGTGGAATATAAAAATAATGTGGATAAGGTTGGGAGGAGTTTGGCTACCTAATGAGTATGATGCAGGTCAAGAGCCATGACCTCATTTTAAATAAGAGGAATTTTTGGACAACTGTGGCTCAAGTAACCAAAGTTTTAGTGTAACACCTTGTCTGATGTTTGGATGGATGTTTGAATTGCCTGACTTCTTGAAGAACTCCCAAAGAATCTGAATATTGCCTAGGGCTACTTTTGAGCTTCTTATATTATCATATTGCAGGACACTCATCTGTGGAAATGGCTTTCAGAAACTTACATTCTGGAAACAAGACTAACAGATTTTAAGGCCAGTAGGAACCGTTACAATCACCTCTTGCATAGCACAAGCCGTAGAATGTCATCCAGTGATTTCTGCATCAAGTCCAACAACTTTAGGCTAAGCTTCAGCATATCTCTTAGGATGACATCCAGTCTTGACTTACAGACTTCAAGCGGTGGAGAATCTATCACATTGCTTGTTGGCTTATTCCAATGGGTAAGTACCCTCACTTTTAAATATGTACACCTCATTTCCAGGTTGAATTTGTCTAGCTTTGGCTTCCAGACATTGGATCTTGTTATACCTTTGTCTGCTAGATGAAAGCACCCTCTAGTAACAAATATCTATACTTTCTGCCATATCAGTATATAAATCTGTGTGCACTAGAAGGAAATTGTAAATTCAAGAAAATTAATTCTAGGAAGGTAGAGGGGAAAACTGCAACATGAATTAAAGTCAAGAAAGATATAAATTCAGTTGGTGGCATCAGTTCACATTGCCTGTTATATCAGAAGGGAGCATAGAAACAACCTGAGTGAAGGGAAAGGGGTGTTTTACATAGAAAAGGGGGTGATCTCTCTCTTTCAGTGATGAATATTGAGAGGCAAAGATTCACATGCTGGACTGGACATTCCAAGGGTCAGGAAAATTGTGTTGGCAGTAGTCAGGTAATGGAATATACATGAGGGTTTGAAAATAAATAATGTGAATGCTAGAGCTGTGCACTTGGCTTCGTAGCCTGAGAATTCAGTGAATGTGTGGTTTGTATTCTGAATTCCCTGTGGGCCTTGACATTTTGGCACAAGTTGGGTGTCACACTTCTTATGTACAGTATGTGAAATGGGTAAGTCACCAGACCTGTCTGGATCCTGGATCCCGTCTGCTTTGATTAATGATGAATTACCCACCATAAAAAAAGAAAAGACAAATATCAGCTTTGTGTTTCCTCAATTAAAATGATGTACTTATTAGCCACCTGAACAATTAATCATATAGAATTATTCCATCGGGACATGCTGGCGGAAACACAATAGCACACGGCACAATTTGCCACATTGGATCACACAGAGCCCAGCATCCTGATTCCAGTAGTGGCCAATACCTGAAGAAGATGAAAAGAGCCAACAATGGAGGCTTGCAAAGTGTGGAAATTCTATTCTCCGACTCCAAAGCATGAGATTTGAGTAAATTTATTATTTCATAAAAGGCGAAGTGAGACTAATGAACATAAAGTTAGCCAGACAAGGTGGGTGAGGTAATATCTTCATCTCGGTGTGACTCAAAAGCTTGTCTCTGTCATCAACAGAAGCTCATCCAGTAAAGATATTACCTCACCCGCCTTGTCTCTTTAATATCCTGGGACCGACACGGCTACAACTACACTACATAAAGTTAACAAGTTCTTTTTCTCCCTCCTGCTGCCGGGTTGGGCCGCTGCCGGGGTCGACAGCTGGATGGGAGTCTTTCAAGGAAAACCTATGATGCCGGAGGAAGTATTGCTGGTGGTTCATCAGTAGCTGGTGCTCTTCCAGCCAACTACTGATCCAACATAGCAGCAGCAGGTTCTATGCTGCTGGAGGTACTTTAGGCTTCTGGTTGCATTATTAAATGAAGGTCTTGAATATTTGTGATCCTGAACTATGCCATGGTATTTTTTGCAATAATAAGGAATGTTAACCCAGGTTTTTTTTCACACACTCAGATAAAATGGCGATAAAATACCTGGACAAACAGATTAGATTAAATTAATTACATTCTATACATAAATTCCTCCTTTAATTTCAGTATTCTTCTTCACCCCTTGAACAACTGTTGCATCATGCACCAGAGGTGGCTTCCTTTCATTGGTGGGTGTGGTGAATCCTATATTATAGAGGTTGCTTGTCTGTGACCTTCGTTACAAAGGATGAAAACCATTTTCTGTGATAACTCTCTGTTTGCACATGCTCATAATTTTTGAAGTAACTTTTAGGGATAAAAATTTCCATTCTTGCTCTCTGCCTAAAGGGGAGTTTTCTTGGAAAATTCAAGCTAAATTCTTTCTTTCTTTCTTGTTCAGCACACATGAAAAAAATATTTAACAAAGAAAACTTTTTGTCAACATGATTACAGAAGAAATGGTTGAAGCTTGAAACCAGGACATAATCCAACTAATGAGGCCGAGGTATAAGATATGGTTTTATTTAATTTAACAAATTTATGCAGTTGCAGTATTGCCAATCCCAAGTGCCAACCCACACAAATATTGAAATTGGCTTAAAAATAATGATTTTTTAAAAAATAATGCTTTTTTTTTTTTGCTTTTAGGGTTTGGGGCCTTTGGGGTGCACTACAGTCATGTTTTCAAGCTTTTCTCCATAATCATGAGGGGCTAGAAGCTTCCTTGAAAGCTGAGATTCTTGTGCAATCACAGGACTCCAGGAGCTGGGATTTAAGACCACCACCAAATATCATGAGATTCAAAATAAAATAACACAGATTATAACCATTTGAAACGAAGAGTAATAATCCAGCACAATATGGAACTGAATTCTATAGATGCACACTCAGAAAACAACAAATCCTAAACATGGTGCCATGCCCAGGTTGGGCTGGGTGCTAGGCAGATATGCATGGGAAAAGAATCCTGTGCTGTTGTGTAAAGGTCTGGGCTGTCCCCATAAACCCCCTGGGAACCCAGTGTGGTGTTGCAGATATGCTCTGCCTTAATTTCCCCTGATTGGGGCAGCAATACATTTTCTATAACAGCCCCAGGCAAGGAGAAGCCAACATATCGTAACAAAATAGCACATCCCTGTTTCACAAAGCTTCAGAGCAGGGGAAATTACAATAAACCAGGGGTAGGCAACCTATGGCACGCATGCCGAAGGCGGCACGCAAGATGATTTTCAGTGGCACTCACACTGCCCGGGTCCTGGCCACCGGTCCGGGGAGCTCTGCATTTTAATTTAATTTTAAATGAAGCTTCTTAAACATTTTAAAAACCTTATTTACTTTACATACAACAATAGTTTAGTTCTATATTATAGACTTAGAGAAAGAGACCTTCTAAAAACGTTAAAATGTATTACTGGCATGCAAAACCTTAAATTAGAGTGAACAAATGAAGACTTGGCACACCACTTCTGAAAGGTTGCTGACCCCTGCACTAAACACTTTGTTATAAGTTCAATACCTGTCTTAACCATACTACCACACAGGGGAGACAGGTTTCCAGCAATGAATTTGTCAGTGCTCAGCTGAGTCTATATCACGTGCTCCCCTTTGGGTTACTTTGTTCAGTGGCAATAAAGAAAATGGGTTCTGTCCTATTTCTATTGAACCCAGTGGCAAAACTCACATGGACTTAAATGGGATCAGACTCAGCCTATCAATAGTACAGAATAGCAAGGCCAAAAATATTATTTTCTGGAAGTCCAGCTCAATAACAAATGCTACTGGAGGGAAAACAAATCCCAAGACTAACACTCTTTCCAAATCTGTGATCAAAGGTTTGCATAGCGTGAGAAGATGTTAGGGACATAAATCAATCAAGTTGGGGGGCAGATGCATCACACCACAACTTATAGAGCTTATGTTGTTCTTCCCTCCTACTAGAACTGACCATCGTGCAAAGCTCAGCTAAGGGAGCGCTTTCGAGGCTGGTTTCTCCTACATTTGGCCATACTGAAATGCATATTGTGTGCTTGTGTCTAGTTTACCAAGCAATGCAGATCAGTCTATATCAGTGACCTGTCCTCTTTGTTTGTTACCATGTCCCTAATCTTTGTGTCATAAGCAAACTTTATCAGTGATAATTTTATATTTTCTTCCAGGTCATTGATAACAATATTAAATACCATTGAGCCAAGAACCCAGGGCCAGCTCTAGCTTTCTTGCTGCCCCAAGCAGCAAAAAAAAGCGCCGCCCCCCGAGCCCCCCCGCCGAGCGCCGCACCGCCCCCCCCGCCGAGCGCCGC